ACTGCAAGACGCCGGGCGTCGACCCTAATCCAGGGTGTGTCTACGGTAGACGATGGCGCACAGTTACACACCCTCTTCAACGGTATGACGGGGGAAGAAGATGGCGACGTCCGCCTCGAGGCTATGCCTGCATTAGATGCTCTTTTTGAGCTGGACGAGTTGTCCCTTGAAGAGTTCGACAGTACCTTGAAGGCAGGCGATTTGGCCGAAGTGGTCATTGTACGACCGGACGAGGAGATAAACTCGTCGTCTCTTCTGGATGAAGCTGTCTTGGAGGGCACCAAGAGGGTGCACGAAGTGAATCGTCGATCCTGCGGAGTCCCTTGGGTCCGTTCTATGCTTTGTTAAAGGAATCTCAAGACGTCGTCTCCAAATACCCGCTTTCGGTCCTACCTCCGGACCGAGGTGTGCGCCATGAGATCGACCTGGTACCGGGAACCAAATACTGCGTAACACGCCAACGGTCCCTGCCCAAGGAGCAGTGCGACGTCATTGACGCATCAAATGAAATGATGTTCATTAGCAATAGTTCACGAGTCGGTTATAGCGGAGTTTAGCACGTGTTTGCAGCTCACTGTTAAGCGTTTTTGATCGCATCCAAGGTATGCACGCATCATTGCAGCTATCAAATGGCAGTGATAGATAATGTTCATTCGTAGCAACAACGCCAAACGCAATGTTGCCTGATTGACGCATTTGTTCATATCCTCTAGATTTACGGCAGTCGACATTCTCTTTCGATTCATAGTAAGCTGTACGCATTGCCAACAAAGCAATCTACATCAACTTTAGTGCACCGAAACAACTGCCAAAGCACACGAGAGCAGGCCATGTGAGGATCAACCCCGCCAAAAAGCAAGATGAGGCGTTTCGCAATGCTGGTGGTCTGAAGTTCATAGAAGTTGTAACTTTTATTCGGAAGAGCAAAAGAAATACTTTCACGCCTGAGACCTATGCAAGCTTGAGTTTCCACTTCGGCAAGACTACCCCCGGCACCAATTCCTCTTGTAACTTGGCAAACCTTTCTCTTTATTTGCCAATAAAAGAACAGGATCAAACAACGCAACGCGCTTTTATCGAGCGAGCCACCTTCGGCATTATCTAAAGTTTGAGACTAGGCCAGCAAAAATTCCAGCAAACTCAAGAATACGAGCAGGGTTGGAACGTGATGTGGTGACTATCATATCTTCGTGCTTCGTATCAAGCATTAAGCGACGTTACGACCGGCCATATTCATTAAAGCTGGCTTGTACAACTGAATGAATAGTCGGGCGACGTACCCACATTTGCGGATTGAATGAAGGATCCTTCAGCAATTTTGCCGACGCTCAGTACCAGATGTACGTCTTTTAGAAAAGATTACAAATTCAACTAATCACTGCCAATCTAGCAACAAGAGGCCCAGTTTAAGCAACCTTACAGAGATCGTTTGCTCTTAATTTGAGTTAAAGTCATACAAATAGACGTTCCGGGCTTTGCCACGCCACGGCGGGCGACATCCGGCAAATTAAGCTCAAATTCTCGATGTGATCTTTTTCTACGGAGCGAATGTATTAAAAACCGATGCGGCTGTGGCGCTTGCAGGTGGTCACGCTTGCTTTGCTAATTCACATCAATTCAATCAATGCCCCGTCATAGGCCTTATGCCGGAATCTTCAACCATAGAGAACGTGAATAGAGTGCGAAAATTGTGCTAAAGCGTAGAGAATTCTTCGTGTCCAAGCGGTTCCCGAAGACAAGAAACGGCTTAGCGATACGAGTCTTGATGAGAGCATAGGCCTCACTTCATCATTCTGATCTCTATCATCGAAGGATACCTCAAGTGTCTCACGAATATTGTCAGCCGCAAGGACCATTTCTTTTGTCTTGCTATGCGCTCCAATGTCAATGTGCGATTTAGATATACGGGGCGCTACAATAATTAGCAGGGGGGGACGAAGTCCGGTTGCGGTGGCTACTCGTAGGGCTCCCACCTGTAACCACAAACAATGGTCAATGCTTTTATATCGATGGGGACTCGAGACAAGTATGTGAGGTATTATGTTCATATCAACATATTACGTGTTGTCCTACGAATTTGATGGCAAGCGCAGAAGTACCACAATCTGTGCTGCTACCGGTGGCGGAATCCGAGAAACAAAATCTATAAGCTGCTACCCTCACATAATTTATCACACAGGGTTAGATGCTTGCGGATCAATCATGGTCTGCCATAGCTTCAGCAGACTGCAACATTAATTTCAGCAACCACCAGACCTGGACTTTGAGCGTATTTCCCTTAAAAAGACTCGTTTTTCAGGGCTAGATTCCTTTGACCAGTAACCCACTCTGTACTGAAGCTCTTCCCCGTAGACCTCTGTGCGTCTCCTAAATCTCGACATTCCCCCACATAGTTTTACCCTTGCGTGAGTGCCAACCCTTCGCACCTCTCAGCCGAGAGCAAAGGGTGACGCTAGGTGCAGGTGATTTGTAGTCTGCAATGTGATGAATGCTTCTTTCGTCAAGCTACCTGCTTGTTAGACCCATTTAACCCGCAGCCTTTCAGCTTAGAGTTCTCAAACATGACGCTCTGTCGCTCCGCTTGAAGCATGGTCATCTCACCCTCCCTCAAAAAGAGGAAGAAAGTTTGTCCGTTCTTGCCCTCCAAGACTTAATTGCTCGGCATCATCGGCCTCGAGATTCCCATCTATTCCTTCAATGACACCCGGTTTGGAAATCCTAGGGGTACCTCAATAACGAATTGTTATAGCTGGTGAACACCTTCACGCGCGCTACTACCGCATTTGGCTTTCTCCCCCCGATCCATCGGAACCTACGACAGACATCAGCTGATCACGTGGCTTGTTGTCCCGGAGATAGCTACGCGAGCATTCTATGCCCAACTCTATCAAAAGATACACGTCTTGGCCGTGAAAACGACATCAAGTGAATTTGAATTGTTGTGCACTTTGCCCAGAGTAAACTTTGAATTATAGAGTTCTGTTAAATAGTCCACAAAGGTTAGGCTCGTTCACTTTACTTGCTTCACTCAACAGCTTCTACTGAAACTGGGTGTCTAGTTTGCTCTGCGTTTATGGAACTAATTACATTTGACCAAACACTTTGTATGCTTGATAGTTTGATGTACAAAACTACCAAAGTAACGGTGTTTATAAATATTTAAATTTTTACATGCAGTACAATTCTACAACACAAGATTCCAGCTCTGATTTCGGCACGGTAACCTGTAGCTTACAAAATGAGTTGCTTTTCTCTTAATCGTGCATGAACTCGAAGAAATCTCAGCCACAAGTACATAGGACTAAGTGTGTTTCATCTGCAGCTTAAATTGGCATTATCATGATTTTTAAGGAATTTATTTTGAAGCAACTTCTTAAATCAACGGCCGCACTATTATTGTAATATCTGTTGTATGCTTTAACAGAGTTAGTCAAGAGAGTAGGAAAATTACGTATTACCATCCCGCATTGCGCACTTCCATATAGCCAGATTGTCTACAATGGCAGATTTCTCGGCGGACCGGCTGCTTTCTAGTGCAGATGGTATCCGTGGACGCAATAAGAAGTCAGATGGGACGACAACGACGGAAAGTGGTAATGCTGGAAGCTTTGACGAGGTCCAAGACGTTCTCACCTCGTTGCCCGCTGCAGACAACGACGTCTGTTTAGTGTCAATAGCTCCCGAGAAGGAGAAAAAGTCTGCCAAACTTATTGCGTCAATGTCCAACGTACAAAAGATTCACCACTGGTGGAAATCCATGCGTTTGCAGTTCGGCGACGGTTTATTACTTCAGATTTTCTTTGTCTACTTTACACAAGGTCTTCGCAGCACGCTCTGTTCACTGGGGACAAGTTACTACCTAAATGAGACACTGGCGCTACCTCCGGCACGGTCTGAGGTATTGCGTGCTACTGCTGCCATCCCGTGGATCATCAAGCCGCTGTATGGTATTCTGTCTGACAGTGTTCCCATTTTTGGAACTCGCCGCAAGTCTTACCTCCTCATCTTCAGTGCCATCTCAGCCATCGCGTACTTCGCGCTGTCCATCCCCGATCTCATTACAACTTATGATAATGCTCTAATTGCTCTTGTGGTTGCGAGTCTTGGTATCGCATTTTGTGACGTCGTCATCGACGGAAAGGTTGTGGAAGCTGCTCGCAGCGAGCGCGAAGACATGGCCGGTAATTTGCAAACCCTATCGTGGCTTTCTTTATCAATCGGATCTGTATTGGGTTCAATGGTTTCGGGTATCGCACTCAATACTTTCGGTCCCTTAGGAGTTTTTCTTCTCACTGCGATGGGCCCGCTCTTCGTTGTGTTGATCTCCATCAAAATTCCTGAAGAAAAGTATTCATCTCAAGAAAATCTCGGGTTCTGTCAAAACGTCCGAGATCAGTGCCAAGCTCTGGCATCCGTGGTGGTAGATCCTATATGCTGGCGTCCCATGCTTTGGATTTTTCTATCAAATGCACTGCCGCCCAGTGTTAACGAAGCCATGTTCACTTTCAAAACCGCCGAGCTAGGCTTTTCCAAATCCTTTCTGGGCTTGATTTCCACAATTGGCAGTTTCACGTTACTAGGCACAACTGCACTCTACAATGCATATTTTCGTAGCACGCCCTTCCGCCGCTTGTTTTTTCGCATTCAATTGGCATCAGCCTGCGTTTCGTTTGCCGAATTCGTGCTAGTGTCTCGTTTCAATGTTCTTTTTGGAATCAGCGACCAATTTTTCATCTTTGGAGACGAGATTCTGTCTGATGTTGTAGCTCGTCTCAAGCACATGCCGTCACTCGTACTCTGCGCCAAGATCTGCCCTCCAGGTATCGAAGGCACCATGTTTGCGCTACTCATGTCGATTTACAATTTCTCATGGTCGATAGCTTCTTATGGTGGCTCGTGGCTCTGCAACTACCTGGAGATATCCAAGACTAACTTTGCGGGCCTTGCAACCGCCGTAACCATCCGTAGTGTGGCTAAACTCGCGCCGCTTTTTTTGCTTAGTATGGTACCAGAAACTATTAACGTCAGCAGATCATCATTAGCGTCATCAAAATTGAATCACTTGGATCAGAGTGGCGACAGTAATGACAAGGCTGCTAACGTTGAGGAACAAGTGTAAACGAGATTCGAATGTACCTTTTTACAATTGCAGAACATCATTTTTCTGTTCGTTTCACATTGAGTGGTCTGCTATACTTAGTAAAGTGAGATACTACTAGCTAGCACCTGATGATTTGGCTTACTTTTGATTTTTAACACCCCATCAAAAATGCTGAATTTGTATCCACCCGCCAACCACGCCGCATACAACGGTGTGAAGTTAAATTTCTCGTCTGAAATCGATCAAGCTTGTCAGGCCATTCACGATGCGTGTAAAGGTTTCGGTACAAATGAGGAAGCTATCATCGCTGCATTGGGCACAAAATCCGCAGACACGCGCTACTTGATTTCTGTGCGTTTTAAAGAGATATACGAGAAGGATTTGAGGAAGGTCCTCAAGTCCGAAACTTCGGGTGACTTCAATTATCTGTTACAGCTCATCGCACAATCGCTACCCGAGGCCGAGGTTACAATTATTCGTAAAGCTACCAAGGGCATGGGCACTAAGGAAAAGGTGATATTTCCCATTGTCATGGGCCGCACCAATGTGGAAATGGCTATGCTCAAAAAAACATATTATCACAAAGCTAAGCAGGACTTGGGCTCTGTCATGGATTGCGAGTTGAGCGGTGATGTTAAAAAGGGTATACTGGCTTCGCTACAAGCGTCTTTAGAGTCGTACAATCCGTCATTACACACATTGGAGAAGGCAGAGAGTGATGCTGACGCGCTTTACAAAGCTGGTGAAGGTCGCATGGGTACGAGGGAGCACGAGTTTATCAATGTTTTGGTGATAAGCCCGCCACAGCATTTAAGAGCTATGAACGCCATCTATGAGAAGAAAAATAAGCACAACATTATCCATGCGGTCAAAAAAGAGTTTAGTGGTGATGCCAAGGATGCTTTGTTATTTTTGGTGCGTATGACGCTAGAGCCACTCGAGCTACTCTCAGAGTTATTTGAAAGTACGATGAAGGGCTTTGGCACAGACGAAAAGGCGTTAAGCGCCGCTCTTGTTCGTTATCATGTCGTACTACACGATATTCGACCCGTTTATAAGAAAATGTATGGAAAGGATTTGCGAGATCGCATCCAGGGCGAAGTTAGTGGTAACTACGGAAAGCTTGTTATGGCTGTCTTTGACGCTCCGAGCCAATATTGATTTTTTTTCGATGGAATATGTATTACACACAGGTGTTTACTATAATAAATATTGAACATTTGACCTATTGTATTATGCTACCTAAGTTCTTCCAAATTTTAGGAGTTGGGAGTTTAAAATGGATTTATGCTGTACTGTTTGCTGCTCAAATTTTTGAGACGACCAGCCTTTTCTTGACGTATTATTACACAGGAAGTAATGTTGACGATGCCAGATTCCAAATGTGGAAGCACAAAATAATAATGATACCAAAAGAGCTCGAACTGTTGAAGATTGTAATCAGTCGGATCAAATTGAAATAGCCCATTCCTTTGTTTGACAAAGAGCCATACGAGTGAAAGCCGCTCGAGGCAATGGAAACCGTTTGTTTTTCTTGATAGCACTCACAACTCCGGTTGGTTTGGTTGGCGATCTCTGTATGTAATACATCGTCTCGTCTAGAATATCATTCCCATAGCCCAACAAGCTTTTGTTAACGTATCATCGCAACAATGATATACAAAGGAAACAAGATTGTCGAAGCAGACTTCCAAATGTGGTAGGTCACGATACGTATCATACTAGAGGAACGCGACCTGTTGAAGATTGCAAGCAGTCGGATCGATTTGGAGCAGTCCGTATCTTGCAATACTAAGAACCATACAAGCGCAAGTCTCTTGAGGCAATGACAATCGTTTCTCTTTTTTTTCTTATACGAATCACAACTCGTACAGCTGTTGGTCTGGTCGGCGTCGATGCGCATTATACATCGTTCCGTCTTTATGAGCTCTTCATCTAACGGGAATTGCTCGTCCATTTGCATACTAGGGATGACTCAAATAGATTAAGACGCTTCACCGCATTTTGCTCATTTAACCTAGCCGTTGATTTTCGTGAATGAGGCGGAAAAGGTTAGAAACGCTGTAGCACGTTTGGAAGCACCACAAACCTTTGTGACATGATATCTCAGCTACTGACAGCGTGACGAAAGTTTGAGTGCGTTAACTGTTGCTGCCACGTCAAACAGATGCGTTTAATTCAGTCAGGAATGCTGTAGCACGTCTGGAAGCACCACAAACCTTTGTGACATGATATCTCAGCTGCTGAC